GGACTTAAGGGGGGGGTGGGTGTGATCTTTCTTATTGTTCCTCTGTCTTTCTCCTGTTTTTTTCTGTTTTTTTCTTTTTCACTCTGCTCTCTCCTCTTTTTTTTTTTTCTCTCTCTCTCTCTCCCCCCCTTCTCTCTCTCTCTCTCTCTCTCTCTCTCTCTCTCTCTGTCTGTCTGTCTGTCTGTCTGTCTGTCTCTCTCTCTCTCTCTCTCTCTCTCTCTCTCTGTGTCTAACTTCCCTACCTCTCTGTGTATTTTCTGTGTGGGTGTTTGTTGGCTTCCCATCTCTGTCCATTTTCTCTGATTTTATCTTCCTGTCCCCTACCATACCATTGGTTGGTACAACTTTTTTTTTCTCCTTTAATGTTTGCGTCTATCTTGCTTTTTCCTGCGCTCTAATTGACAGTTATTCTTTCAATGTGTGCATTTTTTAACTCAACATCGAAGAACAATTGGAGTCGCTTTCTTCCTCATGCTGGTGTTTGAACGATGTTAGTGGGAGGGTTCTAACACTTTACTTTTCGTTTGCTCTTTCTGACTGTCGTGCTTTTTTCGTGCACTTTTTTATGAACGTTTTTCATATCAACATGCTTCTCTTTTCTTAAACAAGTCATCCTGTGTAAGATTTGTTCTGTTTATGAAGTTTGAAGGTGTCCTGGTGGGTCTTACTTGTTTACTTTCTCTCTGTCGTTTCTGTCTGTCTTTTATGTCTTACTTTTCCTTGCACTAAATAATCATTATTGTGTTCATGTACTTCTCTTTACTCAAACAACAAACAATAAAATGTTTTGTCTTACCACCCCCCCCCCCTCCCCTCCCTTTCCCTCACCAGACGACACCCTGCTGGGCAATGAAAGCAGCGGTAACGAGCTGATGGTGACCTTCAAGGGATTCGACTTCCTGGACAATGAGCTGGAGGAGTCGGAGGTTTGTCCCCTGTGTGCCATTTCACTACCTTAGAATTACAAGGTTCTATCTGACATTTTTGGCCGTTTTGAGTTACTTGGACCATGAAGTCAGAAATTAAATGTTTTACCTGTTCTATCAAAATCGTAAGACTATTCGGCGTCATTATCAAGATATTTTAAGAATTACTTTCGAAAAAGCGTAACCATGTTGTGAAACTAAAAATTTTAACTTAAAAAGATATAACTTTATAATTCTAGGGTAGCGATTTGTCTGGCCTCTGTTGAGAAAAACGCATGTTTGTGCTTTCTATATCTTCAGCCAGCTGTTCAGATGTACTAAGCCTTGAATTTTGCAAGAAAAAAAATCATATTCCAGTTTCTTATACAGTGATATTGTGCTCTAGTGTGGTGTGCTCCTTCTTTCCTATCAAACATCTTTTTTGTATGTTACATTCTTGTAGTAACACCTTTAATCTTCGACAGTCATATGCCCTGTTTTTGTTGCAAGTACTGTAAAACTCTTACTAAAACAAATTGAGAGTATTGGTTGCATGTGCTCTCAAAATATTTAGTTAAAATCTTAACAGACTTGGATGAGAAACAGACCTGCCAAATATACTGTAAAAATTGGGTTTATTAAAGTATATTGGCTTTTGTTCAACAAGGGCTTGGCAGGTGAAAGATATAAAATCTGCTGTGAAAATTTAGAAATTGTATTAATTTGTGGGTGTTTTTTGAGACCATGTTGACCAGGGTCAGCAGTAACAGTTTGTGTTTATCTATCTTGCTTTTTCCTTAGCATTAAATGGCGATTATCATGTCGGTGTGTTTCTCTGTTCTAAAAAAAAAGCAGACTTCTGATCACTTTTTCTTCAGTCTACAGACTGTGTTCTCCTCCCTCCACTGGGCAACAGTCAATATACATGTATGTCCGATTTTATCCCGACACTCACAGACTGCACTCTGTAGTGTAACACTCTGATCTAAAGCAGAGAAACATTATATACTTTGGACATTATTTCAGTAACTCTCTCACTGCACAGATAAGAAGTTACAGCTGAGTTCGCTTAGACTGACATAACCTTGTTGGTTTAGAAATTATGAGAGAATTTCAACAGACCAATAGTTTTCTTACAAGACAAAAGGGACAAAATTCAAAGACCTATTCTTAAATATACCGTGTTATTGTATATGAAATGACAAAGG